TATAATGGACTGAATTTCTGAAACTGTAAGTCAGCCACAATTAAATGTCCTTAATAAGAGTTGCCTTGGTCATGGTGTCTCTTCACGGCAATGGAAACCCTACGACAGGCCTCTTGAGGACTCTGCACGTGACTATTAAGGATGGCTCCCCTACTGCAGAGGCTTCTTCTTTTCTTTTTGTTTGCTGTCCTGGCACTACCTCTGTAGATCAGGCTGGCCTCTGCTTCCTGAATGCTGAGATTAAAGGTGTGTGTGTGTGTGTGTGTGTGTGTGTGTGTGTGTGCATGTGCACATTCACTCCTGACAAGCCACCACCACCTGGTGAGGCCTTTTGTTTTTTCTCTCCTGCATCATCTTGGCAAGCTTGCTCTCTGTTCCTTTCCCTACTAGGGGACATCTTTGAGGATCAGAATAAGTTTGCTTCTAAACAAAAACATCTTAATCAAGGCCAAATAAATAAAAAACAAGGTCAGGCACGGTGGCACTTGCTTTTAATTCCAGCACTCAGCACTTGGGAAACAGAGACAGTAGAATCTCCATGAATTTGAGGCCACCTGGTCTATATAGCTTATTCCAGGCTAGTCATGGCTACATAGAAAGAACCTGTCTCAAAAAAAAAAAAAACAAATAAACAAGCCAAAAAACCCAGAATTAAGTGTTTCTAGGCTGTCCCCTTTCCTGCAGCTTCCAGATAAGTGGGAAGGCACTGATGCAAGTGTGCCTCACAAGTTGATGCTTCTGAGCTCTTGCTTTCACTAGGCTGCTGGAGTTTCCTTTGGAATAAAGTAATAGTGTTAAGAAAAGACAAAAAGAAACCATTAAGTAACTCTGCAGAAGAGGAAGCAGAAAGATTCTAAGACTGGAGATGGAAGACACCAAGGAAACCCTGGCTTCCAGACACATCAGGGTAATCTACATGTGCACTGAGTTCCAGGGACTGTGCAGCATGCACTGGTCTGAGCCCTTCCCAAGCACTTTGAAAGGAAGTGGACATGACTTTTCATCTCCAACCAACCACTTGCAAAGGAAATACTGGTTTTCTCCAATGGAGTCTCACTGGGTGTATAAACTACAGGATAGGCCCCATGCCTAAGAGCAGATGGGAAAACAAAATGAACTCAATAGTATTTTTGGATAGGTTTTGTCTCATTTTGCTTTTTTTTTTTTTTAAATCTTATTGGTCTTTTGCATATATATGGTGTCTGATTTTGTGTTTTTGTGTCTCTGAGTATGTTCATTGTGCTTTTCTTTTTATTGTTTTTTGTTTTGCCTGTTTTCTTTCTTTCTTTTTTCCTTTCTTTTTACCTTTTTGATTTTGTTTTGTTCTGTTTTGTTTTTGAGACAAGGTTTCTCTGTGTAGCACTGGCTGTCCTGGAATTCACTCTCTATAACAGGCTGGCCTTTAACTCAAGAGTCCTTACAGACTGATACCATTCAAGGTTTCCTACTAAAAGCTCTACTCAAGCAACCGAGGCATCAGGCACCTGGGACGACTTGTGAAATGACAGTGACAAATGTCAATTTTGATAGGCTGGTTATAATGTTGCCCTTTTATGTCCAGCATTCCGGAGGCGGAGGCGGAGGCAGAAGAATCTCAGTGTGTTCCATCTACAACCCACTTAAAAGCCCATAGCAGTATAAATGACTCCCCACAAAACATCCTATTCATCCCTCCCTTAAGAGTTAATCCAAACCAGGCAGTAGTGGCGCACGCCTTTAATCCCAGCACTTGGGAGGCAGAGGCAGGCAGATCTCTGAGTTCAAGGCCAGCCTGGTCTACAGAGTGAGTTCCAGGACAGCCAGGGCTAAACAGAGAAACCCTGTCTCGAAAAAACAAAACAAAACAAAACAAAACGTTAATCCAAGAACCTGTCAATCACTCGTTAGGAGGCCACCCCTCAGGAAAGGTGATTTTCCTGACAGACATGTTAAGGAAGTAGGAAAATGATTCTCTCTTAATGCATACATACACCAGGAGCCCTTCCTGTGATTGCATTGTTTACAGAATTGTTTCAACCTTTTATTCTTTTATTTATTGTGTATTCATGAGGAAGCCAGAAGACAACTTCAACTGAAGTTGGTTCTCTCCTTCCACCGTGTAAAAGCATCAGGCTCAGCAACAGGCTCTACCTGCAGAGCCAGCTTGCTGGACCCCAGTCCTTACTTCTGAGCCTGCCTGCTTTTTAAGAGTCAGTTTAGGGCTAGTGAGATGACTCACTGCTCTTGCACAGAAAGGACCCAGGTTCCCAACCCCCACATGACAGTTCATAGATGCCTGTAACTCCACCTCCAGGGGAGTGTGACACCATTGGCCTTTGTAGGGACTTCACAGATACACATAATTAAAAATACCCCCTCCCCTTTAAAGCATAGCTTTTGGGGCTGGAGAGATGGCTTAGTGGACAAAACGGTTGCTGCACAGACATAAAGCCTGAGCGTGAGTCCTCAACACACACATAGAAGCAGGCACAGTGGCACAGTCTGGAACCCGTGCTGTGGGGCAGGGAAGGCAGAGACAGGTGAGTTACTCCTGCGGCTTGCTGGCCAGCTATTCTAAACAAAACTGTAAGGTCCAGGTTCAGTAGAAGGTCCTGTCTCAAAAAATAAGGTAAAGAGTGGTCGAAGACACCCACATAAACCTCTGCACTCCACATGTATGGATACAAGCATATGCAAATACACCAGAGTGCACACGTGCACACACAGACACAAAAGTGTAGCTTTTTCTTTTATCTGTTTGAGTACCAAACTCCTAAACCATTGATTTCTCTCTCTTTCTCTCTCTCTCTCTCTCTCTCTCTCTCTCTCTCTCTCTCTCTCTCT